CCGTAGACTCACACAGAGACCCGTAGACTCACACAGACACCCACAGACTCACACAGAGACCCACAGACTCACACAGAGACCCGTTAGACTCACACAGAGACCCACAGACTCACACAGAGACCCAAAGACTCACACAGAGACCCACAGACTTACACAGAGACCCGTAGACTCACACAGCGACCCACAGACTCACACAGAGACCCGTAGACTCACAAAGAGACCCGTAGACTCACACAGAGACCCGTCGACTCACACAGAGATCCGTAGACTCACATAGAGACCCATAGACTCACACAGAGACCCATAGACTCATACAGAGACCCGTGGACTCACACAGAGACCCACAGACTCACACAGAGACTCATAGACTCACACAGAGACCCATAGACTCACACAAAGACCCGTAGACTCACATAGAGACCCGTAGACTCACACAGAGACCCGTAGACTCACACAGAGACCCATAGACTCACACAGAGACCCACTGACTCACACAGAGACCCATAGACTCACACAGAGAGCCATAGACTCACACAGAGACCCACAGACTCACACAGAGACCCGTAGACTCATATAGAGGCCCGTAGACTCACAGAGAGGCCCGTAGACTCACACAGAGACCCAAAAGACTCACACAGAGACCCACAGACTCACACAGAGACCCATAGACTCACACAGAGGCCCATAGACTCACACAAAGACTCATAGACTCACACAGAGACCCGTAGACTCACACAGAGACCCAAAGACTCACACAGAGACCCACAGACTCACACATACCCGTAGACTCACACAGCGACCCACAGATTCACACAGAGACCCCTAGACTCACAAAGAGACCCGTAGACTCACACAGAGACCCGTAGACTCACACAGACACCCACAGACTCACACAGAGACCCACAGACTCACACAGAGACCCACAGACTCGCACAGAGACTCAAAGACTCGCACAGAAACCCACAGACTCACACAGAGACCCGTTAGACTCACACAGAGACCCATAGACTCACACAGAGACCCACTGACTCGCACAGAGACCCAAAGACTCGCACAGAAACCCACAGACTCGCACAGAGACCCACAGACTCACACAGAGACCCACAGACTCACACAGAGACCCATAGACTTGGCTATCACAAATGACAGCTCAACGAAGTGGACTCATCATCATCATCATCGTCGTCGTCTTCGTCATCATCGTCGTGTGGAAATTTATGGCAGCGGCCAAACACTCCGCACGCCGCGACGTCGACTCCGAACGTGGAGGGAAAAAACCGGAGAGACCCGGAGAGAGAGAGACACGTAAACTCCAAATATACAGCAGCAGCAGGCGTCATTGTTCGGGATCGAACCCACGACCTCCTGCGCGCCAGGCGAGGTAGTTAACATCTCCTAGCCACCGTGAGAATGATGATGATGAGAGAGAGAGACACACGCAAACTCCAAATATACAGCAGCAGCAGACGTCAGGCTCGGAATCGATCCCACAACCTCCTGCGTGCCAGGCGAGGTAGTTAACATCTCATAGACACCGCGGCGAGAGGTCTCGGGAGTTCTGCCATCGGCGCGACTTGCTGCGGGGATACTTTGCGGGAGAGGCAATCCACCAAGCTCCGTTTGATGCAACAGCACTGATCCTAACGCGCTGCCACGTCTGTGCTGCCCGCCATCGCCACAGTACGCACGTGACCGTCGTGGTGAAGTATGGTCAAATACAACCGCCCCCCCCCCACCCACCACCACCACCGCTAGCCCCCCAACGGAACCCACAAGGCGCGTGTTGGAGGGCCGTCATCCAGCAGTGGATTAGCACGAGGGCTGTCTGTGCGTGTGTACAGGATTGGTTCTGTCCGGGGACATTCATTTCATTTTGGAGGACTTCATAACGCGCTGGGGAGAAATTTCTAAATGTGCTTTCAAACACGACACGCAGCGGCACGCGCGGACTGATAGCAACTGACATTCAATTTAATATCCATAATAATGACGCCAGTATAATTGACCAGAAGACATGGACTTGTCGCTATGGTTTATCATCTCCAGCCCGATAAATATTGCAAGGCCATCACAAAAACAACAAAACAAAAATCCACCCGTGTAGCCTGTAACAGACTGTAGGGGGCAAGTGCTGTTAGCGAGCACCTGTGAAGGCCGGAACGGCACACGAGGGGGTGGGTGGCCAGCACCACGCCCGGCGGCATTTGTCTCCACAGTGGCCATGATTTAACACACCGCACCAGGTACTCATTTGAGGCTGAGTTGACCTAGGGGAGGCCCAAGACCGGTTCAAATAATTGTCACCGGTATGGGCCGTGAGCGGGAATCGAACTCGGGCCGACGGATTCGTAGCGCAGCGCGCTAATCGCTGCACCACCGCTCCCCAACACACACACGCGCACACACACACCGACACATTGACACAACAACAACAACAATAACCGCCATTCGCCACTAAGTGGCGGTGACATCACCACGACGCTTGTGCCAGGCCATGTGCACCTTGTGGCCACGTAAAGTGTCGAACGCCCGCGGGGCAGACCCAGGTGCCACAGGTCGACTGACTGAGATGACCGAGATGACTGGTTGACACACACACTAACACACACACACACATGTACATACCGAGCAAACGAAAACCACCCTACTACCAAGCAAACAAAAATTCGAAATCAAATTAAGAAGTGGTACAAATATCATTGACACAAATACCCCATCCGAACCCCTGTGGTTATTGTATCTTTGCCTTGTTCCAAATCCCAGAAATCCCCGCACGACGGAACACATCCACATATTGGAAGGTCATCACCACCACCAGCATCACCACCACCATAATCAGCTGAATAAAAGTCACCATCATCATCATCACCACGAACAAACAACCGCCGTTCGCTGAAAAGTGGCGGTAACATGATCCCCACGGCGCTTGTGCCAGGCTAGGTGCACGTGGAAGGCTGTTGATGTTGACAGGTGGTCACGGGACAGAGAGTCCCAGGTGTTACGGGTTGTGTTGACTGAAATGCTCCCCCGCCGTGCCGTCCCTACTGGAGATCTGTGTTAAAAAAGAGCTTCATAGCTCATCTGATTTCTCCAGGATAAAGAAATATTCAGATTTTGATGCACAGCATCATACATTATATATTTATATCCCGGGTGGCCTAAAGAGACTGTTGGGGCAAGTGCGTTCAGTGAGCACCTTTTAAGGTCGCCTCCACCGGCCACCTCTGTTTCCTCAGCGCTGATGTTTACACATCACACAAGGTACTGATTCAAGGCCGATTGGACCTAGGGAAGGCTCAGAACCAGCTCAGATTTTCGCCCACTGAAGTTCTGCGAGCGGGAATCGAACCTGGGTTGCGGGTTTTTGTAGCGCAGTGCGCTAACGGCGATGCCGTCGTTCCCCATGTTGTCGTTAACGCCATCATTGCCACCAGTAACAATAGCAACATCGGCTGCATCATCACTGCCACGGTCATCGCCGTCAGCAGCATCTCTAATACCGCTATCGCCTGCAGCGTTGTCACCATCGGCTCTGGTATCATCACCACCACCACCACCAGTCATTAATGTCTCTGGAATACCACCATCATCATCACCATCATCATCACCACAATGCCTCGCTGATCTCGACACGGAGCACATCCTGCGGTCTTTTGGCTGCTTTTGGCTGAGCCATCGAACAAAGGCGGCGGTGATCATCGCATCGCGCGACGCTCTCAGATGCGATTCTGCTGCCGTCTGGAACGCTCTCTCCCTACCGATGTTAGGAAGCCTACGGGAAACTGTGCGCTTTCAAAACTCATATCTTAAGAACTGCTTGTTGTGCTAATAGGGGTTTTCCCCTTTTTTCTGGCAACAAAACTGAAACCTTTTTTTTTTTACAAGGAATCATGTTTTAAAGCTATCGTGACTGCAGGGATTCATATTCTTGGTTCTATCGGTAAAGTCACGTAGAAGGGAAACAATAAAATATGAAACAATACAATTCTCACGACGTTTCGACTGCAACACAAGCGATCATCATCAGGTGTGAAAACCACAGCAAAATTTTCTTGTTGTGGTTTTCACACCTGATGATGATGATTGCGTGACTTTACCGAAAGAACCAAGAATAAGGAATCATGTGTGCATTAACCACAACACTTGTGGTCAAAATGCAAAGAAAAAACACGCCGTGATAATCAATGCATTGTCCTTGTGTTTTTTGTTTGCATTTTGAGCACAAGTATTGTGTTTAATGTTCACATTATTCCTTGTAGAAAAGGTTTCAAGAAGGGGGGGAACCCTTTTATTATATTTTGGTACTGGCAAATGAGGTCTAATGATGTAACAGATTGTTGTCTTTAATTTGTTGTCTTTACCCCCCCCCCCCCATCCCCCCGCACCTTCGATTAAAACACGGTTGGTTACGTACGGTGCGAAAGAAGTTCAGCATGCACAGACGTACACGCACCACCACCATCACCATCACAATGGTAACAATTCGCGTGTGTGCAGCGCTGTAAGAGGATACAATTAATCCGCCACAGAATATATGATAGATTATGTTAATGCAGAAAGAAGCCAATCAGCGTTCGAGCATGGATGAAGCTGATAGATTTCATACACGTGCCTATGTGTTCGAGCATGGATCAAGCACGTGTCAAACTTTGCATCGTTAAATCGGTCGATTCCCGTTTAATCGAGCATCGGATCGATACAAAAAAACGTCGATCCCCGATCCAGTATTCCTTATTACGGCAAAGTCACGCCTAATTACCGCACATATGGGCCAAAAGCACGGACATAATCGATCGATCATTCATTCTGTCGCACATTCATTTCATCCTCTTGCAGCGCCCATAAGGTAACCGACATCTCACATCGCAGATTTTTTTTTGTTTCGGTTTTTTTTGTTTTAAGCCTAGGGGAGCCTCCGCTGGACAGCTGTCCCCCTCCCGTATGGAACAAGGTGACGAGCGCGCAATGAACAGTGGGAAATCACCGTGGGGCTCACTCACCTCGCTCGGCTCGCTCGGCTCGTGGTGGGTGCAAGTGGCGGCGTGGATGGGTCGCGGGACGATCCGCCGTCCCACGCCTATCCGAAAGTCAACCCTCGACCCGAACCGACTGCTCGCCCAGCGGAATTGCGCAACTTCGACTCCTCCGCGTGTCGAACAAGTCCAGTAGACTCGTAAGTTAGGGAGTAATAGAAAGATCGGTGCCAGAGACCGGTGGTCTGAAATAAAAAGGCGAATACATTTGTCACAACGGAGCGGCGGGAAATGAACGGCGCGCCCCTGCGTGGAGACGGAGCGGTGAAACGAGGTCACGTGCAGCTGACAATGTGGAGTCGTTGCATCGCAGCATCGGAGATTTCGTCCGTCTGGAAGGCGTTCGTCCGGCCGTGGACTTCACCGTGGCCATCCCTCCCATCCCACGGCGGTGAAAATAGCCAAAGGCGTGCCGGGGTCGCTGCGATATTGACCTCTTCACTGCCGCGTGGCCCCGGCCAGGACTCAAAACGTCTCGCTGGATATGCCCGGTTGTCCGCTGGTAGGCTGTAGTAGGTGGCGCACCTCTTCGTCAGCCACGGAGACAATCCACGTCGAGTTGAATTACCTTGACGGGTGATTTTTTTGGTCTTCTATTTCTGGTTCTTTCGGTGAAGTCACGTAGAGAGAGTGTGAAAATAAAAATTAAATTAAAAATAATGAAAGCAAAAAAGCCACGACGTTTCGATCGCAACACGAGCGGTCTTCTTCAGGCGGAGAGAAAAGAGGAGCCCTTCTATCTACGTGATGACTTTACCGAAATAACCAAGAATATGAATTCCTGCAATCACGGAAGTTAAATTTTTTAGTTTGCCGTCATGGGTCTACAGGGCCCATCAATTGATTTTCCTCCTCCTCCTTATCCATCCAACGGGCTATTTACTATTTTTTTTTATCGAATTGTGTTTTTTTTACACCACGTGTATGATAAAGTCGGAGCGCAAGAAAGAAAAACGAAATCCGATCTTCTCATCTCAACGAGATGTCATACGGCGGCGGCTTTTCCGAGACTTATATGTTTTTTTTTACGGGCAATTATATAATTGTGACGGAGGGCGATAATATGATTTGAAGATGAACAATTGGGTTATTGTGAGCGGTGGCGTAGTTTTGATGGCAGTCAAGCAAGAGGGATTGGTAAGGAAGAATTTAGAGGGTGGGAGGTGGGGGTATAGGGCCTGATCGTAGCTGCGGGCGACTGAAAGCTGGGGAGCTTAAAAATAATCAGCAATAAATAACTCTACTCTTTGATTATTTCGGTAAAGTCACGTCGGTATAAAATAAAAACGATTTTACCGAAAGAACCAAAGAGTATGGATTCCTGCAGTCACGAAAGCTTCACATCAATACAAAACTAACCAACGACGCATGTTTTGTCAACGTTACGCAGGGCGCTTAGCAAAAAAAAAAATGTTTGTTATTTCAATCACTTCTGAGAATTTGCAACAAACAGCACGAAAAAATGCGCTCCGCCCGGGGGTTCTTCATGAGAACAACTCGAAAAGATTCCAGGCGGCGCCTTGAGAATGATGGCGAACAAGTGGGAGACTCTTTGAAGCAACCAACATACATTTGTTATCACGTGACAGTCTATTGTTAGCCATTCTTTTTCACGTAAAAAAACGATGGTCGCATATAAGTGTTCAAAAAAATGCGAAGCGCCATGTGTCCATGTATGCGGTTGGCGCGCTGCGCTACGAACCCAGCCACCCGCTCACGGCCAACACCGGTGACGATCATCTGAACCGGTCGTGGGGCCTCCCCTAGGTGGACTCAGCCTCAATTGAGCACCCGGTGCTGTGTGTAAACATCGCCACTAGGGGAGACAAAGGCGGCCGGGCGTGTTGTTGGCCAACCACCCCGTCGTGTGCCACATTGCCGGCCATCATAGGTGCTGCTCGCTCACAACAGTCTCTGTTCAGGCTATACGGGTGGATCTTCGTCTTGTGTGTGTGTGTATGCGTGTGAGTGAGTGAGTGAACGTCAGCGTGCGTAGGAACGGCCAATTTTGGCGGGCCCAGGGTTATTCGAGAGGCTAAAGGCGCAGACCCTGCAAGGTCTCCAGAGGCAAGGCCCCAGGGCTTTTGCAGAAGCGACCTTCGCCTAAACATTTCGAGGAGGCGATTTTAGAGATTCGTCCAACACCAGCTCGGCACGCGGTCATCGGACGGAGTTCGTTTCGCAAACCCTCCCCCCCCCAAATCATCACGCGTTGAAATCACAAAGGGGTGAGGCGGGGGGGGGGGGAGAGATTGTCTTTTTGTTTGAGACCATGTAGCTACTAGTCACGTACTATTACAGTATTATTATAATATTTTGGGGAATTGTCATTGTTGGAATTTGTCGAAATCTTGATTTAAAGCTTTCGTGACTGCAGGAATTCATGCTCTTTGGGTCTTTCGGTAAAGTCACGTAGATAAAAAAATAATAATAATAGATCACGATGTTTCAATCGCAACACAAGCAATCGTCATCAGGTGGGACAACCACAGCAAGAAAAAGCCTACTTCATCAGTTTTTTCTTGCCGTGGTTGGTAATAATAAGTAATTAATAAAACAGCATTAACTTTTTTTATTAATTATTTATCGTTATTAATAGTTAGTAATAATAATCACTAATATAGTATAATAATTAGTTTAACACGTAGGCTTTGGCGACCAATATTATTCATGATAGAGGGGTTTTTTATGGGTTAGATCACTTAAATTTATTAACGCAATTACCGGCGAAACGAAAATGGTACTCGAATTGTAAATGTTGTAGTGGGTTTACTCTGCAACACACAACGGGTGACTGCTGTACTAGTATACTACACTATACACTACATTATATACTACACGATACACTACTATACACGACACTACTATACACTATACTACAATACACTACTGTACACTATACACTCCACTATAATTGTAAATGTTGTAGTGGGTTTTGCTCTCCAACATACAACCGGTTAGTGCTGTACTAGTATACTGCACTATACACTACACGATACACCACACGATAAACTACTATACACAACACTATACACTACTATAGACTACACTACTCTACACTACACTATACACTGCACTATCATTGTAAATGTTGTCGTGGGTTTTACTCTGCAACACACAACTGGCGTAGTGCTGTACTAGTACACTACACTGAACACTACACTGTACACTACACTATACACTACATTATACACTACACTACTATACACTACACGACTATACACTACACTATACACTACTATAGACTACACTACTATACACTACACTACTATAGACTACACTACTATACACTACACTATACACTACAATACACTACACTATACACTACTATAGACTACACTACTATACACTACACGACTATACACTGCAGTATACACTACTATAGACTACACTACTATACACTACACTACTATAGACTACACTACTATACAGTACACTATACACTACAATACACTACATTATACACTACTATAGACTACACTACTATACACTACACTATACATTATACACTCATATAGACGATACTACTATACACTACACTATACACTATTATACACTATACTATACACTACTATAGACTACACTACTATACACTACACTATACACTACTATAGACTACACTACTATACACTACACTACTATAGACTACACTATACACTACACTATACACTACACTACTATACACTACACTATACACTACACCATACACTACACTATACACTACACTATACACTACTATATACTACACTACTATACACTACACTATACACTACACTATACACTACACTATACACTACACAATACACTACACACTACTATAGACTGCACTACTAATTGGCTGTGCCGGGTGGTGGCGGGTTTAACGACACATTTGTATTTACGCGATCTAACCCAACAACAACAACAACCACAACAAGCCTCTATTACGGAGCACAATAATTATTATTTCACAACCATTAAAGCCTACGTGTTCATAATTGTCCCTAGACATGAAGACGAGACGAATGATGACCTCAGCTCCACATTACCCTCCACCCTTTTCCACCTTCCACAATTTAGAAACACGCGTTGAGATTATTTTGATCATTTTCACACGTAGGCTTTCGCGACAAATATTAATCATAATAAATGTTTTTTGGGTTAGATCGCGTTATTTATAAATGTGTCGTAAACCCTCCACCACCCGACACGGCCAATCAGCAAAAAAAAGTGTCACGTTGACAAAAGACAATTAGTTCACTTACTTTAGCCCACCGGTGTGTTGAAGAGTGAATCCACAACATTTACAGTTTGAATACGCCGTATTCTTTTGTCAACGTGACATTTTTTTGTTTGCTGATTGGCCGTGTCGGGTGGTGGAGGGTTACGACACATTTATAAATAACGCGATCTAACCCAAGTACCTTTATTATGAATTTGATCATTTTGTTTGTGGGGGGTGGTGGTTGGCCACTTTGTTGAGCGGCAATCATTTGCGGTGGGCAGGTCGCTTCTGACAAACAAGTTAATAGCCTGAGTGGGGCTTTGCCTGGCAGGATGGCGGGATGGATTCGTGTTGTATTTGTCTGTGTCTGTGGGTGATTTCTTTATCCGTCTTGTACTTTGCAATCCTGTTGTGTGTGTGTGTTTTTGTCATTTTCTTGTTGTTGCAACGTTCTAAGTCCGTGCTCCCCGACTGAAACATCCGTGAGAGAAAAAAAGAGCTTTATAGCTCATCGGATTCCCCAAAAAATATCCTGCAGAGAGATAGAGGCGGGGGGGAGAAGTGGAGATTGTTGGGATGGATTCTAAAATGTGCAGCATCGGGACAGCTGCGATGCCTTCCCTTGACGATGTCTGCATCCAGACGATGGATCGAGCAACGATTGAGACCTTCCACGATTTCAAGTCCTCGCTGTTAACGGACACTTGGGTATCAGTCTCGATTAGACGTTTTCGTTACTGCAGGGCTCCGCATACTCTTTGTTTCTTTCGGTAAAGGCACGTAGGTTATGAAAGAAACAAAAATTAAATCACGACGTTTCGGGCGCAAAGGCAAGCGTCCGTCATCAGGTGGGACAACCACAGCAAGATACAACTGTGGAGGCGGGCGAACGTCGTGATTTAAAATGTATTTTGTTTTACATCTACGTGACTTTACCGAGATAACCAAAGAGTACTCGGTATCAAATCCTCCCTTCCCCACCTCCTCCCCACCCACCGCTCGTCTTCGACCCAAAAAAAACTAAATTATCGATTAATTTGCATCCAAATCCTTGGATGTAAATCCGTGTCCGCGTTTTGCCTTCGCGCCAGACTCCACCGCGATCCCGTCGGAGACGCAGTTCCATCAAATTTACAGCAGCAGCGGCAGCAGCGGCGGCAGCAGCAGAAGGCTTCATTGTGTTTCCCTCCCCACCCAGTAGCACGAAACGACATTAATAAAAACACACACAAAAGATGATCAAGCCGCCTGTCCGTTCAGGTCCATCCCCACACCCCGAACGCGGCATTCCTAGTTCCAAAACGAGTTTGATGGGGTTCGCAAAAAACTAATATTCCAGAGCCGTATCGATAATTCGTGCTAGTTCCTCGCGCCTGTGTGTGTGAGAGTGTGAGAGAGTGAGTGTGAGAGTGTGTGAGAATGTGAGTGTGAATGAGTGTGAAAGAGTGTGTGGGAGTGTGTGTGAGAGTGTGTGAGTGTGTGAGAGTGTGTGAGGGTGTGAAAGTGTGTGAGAGTGTGAGAGTGTGTGAATGAGTGTAAGAGTGTGTGAATGAGTGTGAGAGTGTGTCAGTGTGAAAGAGTGTGTGAGTGTGTATGTTAGTGTGAGAGTGTGTGAGTGTGAGAGAGTGTGTCTGAGAGTGTGTGTGAAAGTGATAGTGTGGGAGTGTGTGAGAGTATGTGAAAGTGAGAGTGTGTGTGAGAGTGAGTGTGTGTGAATGAGTGTGAGAGTGTGTGAGTGTGAGAGAGTGTGTCTGAGAGGGTGTGTGAAAGTGATAGTGTGGGAGTGTGTGAGAGTGTGAAAGTGTGTGTGTGAATGAGTGTGAGAGTGTGTGAGAGTGTGTGAGAGTGTGTGAGAGTGTGAATGTGTGAGAGTGTGTGAGTGTGTGAGAGAGTGTGAAAGTGAGAGTGTGAGTGTGTGAGAGTATGTGAGAGTGTGTGTGAGAGTGCGAGTGTTTGTGAGAGTGCGTGAGTGTGTGAGAGTATGTGTGAGTGTGAAAGATTGTGAGTGAGTGTGAGAGTGTGTGAGAGTGTGAGAGTGTGTGTAAGTAAGTGTGTGTGAGAGTGTGTGTGAGTGTGTGAGAGTATGTGTGAGTGTGAAAGAGTGTGAGTGTGTGTGAGTGTGTGCGAGTGTGAGAGTGTGTATAAGTAAGTGTGTGAGTGTGTGAGAGTGCGTGAGTGTGTGAGTGTGTGTGAGAGTGTGAGTGTGTGTGAGAGCGTGTGTGAGTGTGTGAGTGAGTGTAAGTAAGTGTGTGAGAGAGTGAGTGTGTGTGAGAGTGTGAAAGTGTGTGTGAATGAGTGTGAGAGTGTGTCAGAGTGTGAGTGTGTGAATGAGTGTGAGAGTGTGTGTGAGTGTGAGAGAGTGTGTCTGAGAGTGTGTGTGAGAGTGAGAGTGTGTGAGTGTGTGAGAGTATGTGAAAGTGTGTGTGAGAGTGTGAGAGTGAGAGTGTGAGAGTGTGAAAGAGTGTGTGAGAGTGTGTGTTAGTGTGAGAGTGTGAGAGAGTGTGAGAGTGTGTGAGAGTGTGTGAGTGAGTGTGAAAGTGAGAGTGTGTGCGTGAGAGTGTGTGTGAGAGTGAGTGTGAGAGAGTGTGAGTTGTGAGAGTATGTGAGAGTGTGTGTGAGAGTGCGTGAGTATGTGAGAGTGTGAGTGTGTGTGAGAGTGTGTGAGTGACTGTAAGTGTGTGAGAGTGTGAGAGTGTGTGTAAGTAAGTGTGTGAGAGTGCGTGAGAGTGCGTGAGAGTGTGTGAGTGTGTGTGAGAGTGTCTAAGTGTGGAGCGGTAGTGTAGCGGTTAGCGCCCTGCACTACGAACCCGGCCGCCCGAGTTCGATTCTTGCTCAAGGCAAACACCAGTGACAATTATCTGAACATGTCCTGGGCCTCCCCTAGGTCGACTCAGCCTCAAATGAGTACCTCGTGCTGTGTGTAAAAAAACAAAAAAACATTGACACAGGGGAAACAAAGGCGGTCGGGCGTGGCGATGGCCATCCACCTCCTCGTGTGCCGTGCCGGCTTTCATAGGCGCTCGCTAACAGCACTTGCCCCAACAGTCTGTTGAGGCTACACGGGGGAACTCTGTCTTTGTGAGACCAAATATTTGTAACCATATTATCACCGGGCACACGTGTTTTTTTTTTGGGGGGGGGGGGGTGCATCGAACTTTCCAGAGCACCTTAAAGAGTCGGGAGAAGACACGTTCACGCGGAGCGCGGCGAAGCCGATTGATTTTTCTTCTTCAATCAACAGCGTGAAAGTTTATCGGCGAAACGATTAAAAAAAAAACTTGCAGCTCTCCGTCTCAATGTATTTCCTTGGATTATAAACGGGCGCGATTTGCACGCAAGCTTGTTAGCTCACGGCACTTGCCCCAAAAAATGTAGGCTTTAAACTTTCGTGACTGGAGGAATTCATATTCTTGGTTCTTTCGATAAAGTCACGTAGATATAAAAAATAAAAAAAAATAAAAATAATAATAATTATAATAAAAAATATTTAAAAAATATATTAATTGAAAAGAATCAAAGCTTTGATTATAAATAAAAATAATGAATAGAAAAAAATAAAAGCTTTCGGAACCAATATTATTCATAATAAAGTTTTTGGGTTAGATCGCGTTATTTATAAATACAAAATAGTTCACCGGTGTGTTGAACAGCGAATGCACAACATTTACAAATTAATTTTTATTAAATTTGTTGTTTTTATGAATTTATGTATTTTTAATGTGGCTGCGCCCCTGGGTTAATGCAGTATTGTGATTCCTGGCAACAGGAATCACTTATTCGGCACAAAGGTCCCCGTGATATAGTATTGTACACCGCCGATGGCACAGGTGCCAACAAAGACAAAGATCCCCCGTGTAGCCTGTCGGGGCAAGTGCCGGCACGGCACACGAGTGAGTGAAATATTTAACAAATAGCACTCGGTACTCAATTGAGGCTGAGTCGACCTAAGGGAGGCCCGGTTCAGAAAATCTTCATCGGTGTTGGCCGTGAGCAGGAATCGAACTCAGGGCGCCGGTTTCGTAGCGCAGCGTAGCGCTAACCACCACACCACCGCTCCCCACCACAGGTGCCAACACAAAGACAAAGATCCCCCGTATAGCATTATCAGACTGTAGGGGCAAGTGCTGATAGCGAGCACCTGCCAACACACACAAAGATCCCCCATATAGCCTTAACACACTGTAGGGGCAAGTGCTGTTAGCGAGCACCTATGAAGGCCGGAACGGTACACGAGGGGGCTGGGTGGCCAGCACCACGCCCGACCGCGTTTGTCTCCCTACTGGCGATGTTTACACACCGCACCAGGTACTCATTTGAGGCTGAGTCGACCTAGGGGAGGCCCGGGACCGGTTCAGATAATCGTCACTGGGTGTTGGCCGTGAGCGGGAATCGAACCCGGGTCGCCAGGTTCATAGCGCAGCGCGCTAACCGCTACACCACCGCTCCCCACACAGACACACACAGACACACACACATTACACACACAAAACACACCCACCCCCCCCAATGAATATTCCTTTGCCCCCCACCGCTGCCACCCCACCGATGATCGCGACGCGAGATCGTCGTCACACGTCGGTTCTAAACCCAGGGTGCTCGGGCAGGTGACTCGCCACGTGCGTGCCGAGTTCCAGTCTCTTGTTGAACGACAGCTCGTCACCAGAGGCGGCGCCTCTCTCGCTCTGCAGGCTCATCTCGCTGCTCGCGCGCTTCAAGAAGTCTCCACCGTCATCGTCTCGTCCTCCTGCTCCTCCTCCTCCTGCTGCTGCTGCTGCTCCTCCGTTGACGTTGAAGCTGGACACGTGCGAGTACTGCCCCAGGTCCTCCCCGTCCGTCTCGCGGTGGTAGAAGTAGTTGAAGTTGGAGACGATCACGGGCACGGGCAGCGCGATCGTGAGCACGCCGGCGATGGCGCACAGCGAGCCCACGATCTTCCCGCCCACGGTCTTGGGCCACATGTCGCCGTAGCCCACCGTGGTCATCGTGACGACGGCCCACCAGAAGGCGTGCGGGATGCTCGTGAAGTCCGTGTCGGGCTCGTCCGTCTCGGCGAAGTAGACTGCGCTCGAGAAGAGGACGACGCCGATGAAGAGGAAGAAGACGAGGAGGCCCAGCTCGCGCATGGACGCGTTGAGGGTCCGCCCGAGGATCTGCAGCCCCTTGGAGTGTCGCGACAGCTTGAAGATCCTGAAGACGCGCACGAGGCGGACGACTCGGAGGATCGCGAGCGACATCGTCTGCTGCCCGTTGCCCTGCTGCTCCGCCAGTTCGGTGCCCAGCGTGACGAAGTAAGGCACGATGGCCACGATGTCGATCACGTTCATGATGTTCCTGAAGAAGGCCGGCTTGCTGGGGCACGCCGCGAAGCGCGCCGTGAGCTCGAAGCTGAACCACACGATGCAGACGGTCTCGATGATGAAGAAGGGGTCGGCGAACGAGCCGACAGAGTCCGCTCCGCTCGTCCCGTTGTTATTGTTGTCGTTGTTGTCGTTGTTGCTGTTGTCGAGCGGAGACGCCTCCGCCTCCTTCTCGTCGCGGAACTCGGGCAGCGTCTCGAGGCAGAAGACGATGATCGAGACGAGGATGACGACCACCGACACGATGGCGATGCCGCGCGCCGCACCCGAGCTCTCGGGGTACTCGAAGAGCAGCCACACGCGGCGCTGGAACTCGCTCGACGGCATGGGCCTCTCCCCCTCCTCCTCCTCCCTCGCGTAGCCCTCGTCCTCGCGGTAGCGCACCATCGCCTCGTCGCCCAGCTCGTAGAACCTCACCTCCTCGGCGAAGATGTCGAAGGGGACGCTCGCCGGCCTGCGCAGCCTGCCGCCCGACTGGTAGTAGTAGAGGATGGCGTCGAAGCTGGGTCGGTTGCGGTCGAAGAAGTACTCGTTGCGCAGGGGGTCGAAGTATCGCGACCGCCTCTCCGCGTCGCCCAGCAGCGTGTCGGGGAAGTTGGCCAGCGTGCGCAGCTGCGTCTCGAAGCGCAGCCCCGACACGTTCACGAGCACGCGCTCGCAGCCTTCGTGATGGTGGTGGTGCTGTTGCTGCACGCCCGATGCTTCTCCGACACCGTCACCAACAACATCATCATCATCATCACCACAGCAACCACAACCGCCTCCTGCTGTTGCTGCTGATGCTGTTGCTGCTGCTGCTGCTGCTCCCGCTCCTCTGCACGACTCCGCGTCGCCGTGTCTCGGCTCCATGCTCTCATCTCCCGCATCTCCAAGCTCAGCGCTGCCTCGCTCCTCCCGTCGCTCGCGTCGCTGCGGATGCTTTTCTCCCCTCGTCCGCTCGTCCCGTTGGCACGCTGAGACCCCCCCCCCGAGCTGATGTGACGCTGGGAGGCGGTGGCATCTGCGTCGATAGCAGCAGGCGCGGCATTCACGACGGCCGTGCTGGTGGATAGAGCGGAGTCGTCGGAGCTGCCCCTCCTCTGTCTCCTCCCCCTCCTTCTCCTCCTCCCCCCACTCCTCCTCCTCCTCTCGCCATCGTTGGCTCCTGCTGTCCTTTGTTACTGCTGCTCCTGCTGCTGCTGCTGCTCGTGCGGTTTGTTTGGATGCGAGATGACGGGAGAGGCGAGAGAGATTGACGGAGCGCAGCAGACAGACAGCCCGCGCTGGGTGGCTGTGGTTGTTGTTGTGGTTGTTGTGCTGCTGCTTCAGCTTGGTGGTGGTGGTGATGGTGGTGGTGTTGTTATATTCAAGTGGTGGATCCAAGGTGGGGAGGAGGGAGAGGGGAGGGGGTGATGGGGCGATGGCTGCCCCCCCACACACACACACAGGTTGAGACACCACCAAAAACAATATTTAGTTATATTAATATTTAACAGAGAAAATACATTGACTGTGGGTTTTTTTTCGTATTTACTAATGCAGGGCTCTTATTTTTTGAACCTTTAAATGTAGGGGTAATCCCCCCCCCCCCCCCACCACCACGAGCCTCCACCCCGACCCTCTGACATCCCCTCGAGAGGAGCCGCTCCGTCTCCACCCGGGGGTCGCCCCGAACCTCGCACGTGGAGACGGAGCGACTTTTCGATCCCGGAATCGCCGCTCGCGCAGCCGCGACCCGCCACGATCGTGGGAGGCGGCTGTGGCTGACCCCCACCCCCAACCGCAACCAGCCCTTCATCCAGCAGTGGAGTGATTGATCGCAAGGATGATGATGATGGTCGTGGTGGTGGTTGTTGTTGATGGGGAGGGAGGAGGGAGGAGGGAGGGGGAGCGGTGGCACAGCGGTTAGCGCTACGCAGCGTTACGAACCATGCAACGCCGAGATCGAGTCACGCAACACGGCCACCAAGACCGGCAGTGACGATTTATCTGAACCGGTCCCGGGCCTCACCTAGGTCCACTCAGCCTCAAATGAGTACCCGATGCGGTGTGTAGTAAAAATCGCAACTGGGGGAGACAAAGGCGGCCGGGCGTGGTGCTGGCCACCCACCCCCTCGTGCGCCGTGCCGGCCTTTATAGGTTGCTACTCGCTGTAGCAGCACTTGCCCCTACAGTCTGTTGATGCTATACACGGGGGGGCTCTTTTGTATTTGTACGTTGAACTTCTTTCGCACCGTACGTAGCCAGACCGTGCTAATCAGCTGTGAGGTGGTGTGGTAGCAGGACATCAGAAATTAAAACAAAGAAAAGCAGTTCACACGAAACGAGCTGGTCGGGCACGAGCGGTGTGGTCAAGTTTGTGGGGGGGGGGGGGTGGTTGAGGGAGGGGTTACTTCCACCTCTTCCGAAATTGTTTTAAGCGAGCGCTGAAGAGGAGGCGAAAGGATCGGTCGAGGCACTCGAGTCTAAACGTCTCCTGGAAGGCTCCCTCTGGCTGACGAGGGCCTCTTGCGAGACATCTCGGAGACCCATAGAGACATCACAGGAGATGCACCGATGCACAGGTGGACAACATTTAAAATGACGAAGAAGATAAAAAAGACGATGATCTGGAATTGAAGCTTTCGTGACTGCAGGAATCCATGACTCTTCGGTTCTTTCGGTAAAGCCACGTAGGTATAAAAAAATAAAATAAAACATAATACATATCACGACGTTTAGATCGCAACACAAGCAAGCGGTCGTCCACTGGCGGAAAAAAAAATCGAGCAGTGGAACTGCTGGACCAGGAAGTGACACAGCGAGAGAGCTGTTACGACAAGAGGTTGTGTATGTGGTGGCGGCGGTGGTGGTGGTGGTGAGCGACTATGGTCAACTCAGAACAGAGCATCGAGACGCCCCGATGCTGCAGGCCACGAAGGAGACATCGCGGCTACGCCACCGCTGCTCGAGACGCGGCCACAGAGATTCAGAGTCACAGAGACGCGCAGAGACTCAGAGACACGCAGAGACCCATTTCGATATCGCGGCGACACCACCGCTCCGCCGCTGCTCGAGACGCGGCCACAGAGATTCAGAGTCACAGAGACGCGCAGAGACTCAGAGACTCGCAGAAACCCATTTAGACATCACGGCGACACCACCGCTCCGCTTCTCCCGACCTGGTTGTCTGACTCGACCACCTGAATGTGAAATTGTAGTTTGCTGCTCTGCGATCGACATCAGCAACCGTACGGAAGAAGAAGGGACTCGTAGATGCCCATAGAGATGCAGACTCATAGAGACGTCACAGAGACCCATAGAGACGTCACAGAGACTCATAGAGACGTCACAGGGACCCGTAGAGACATCTCAGAGACCCATAGAGACGTCACAGGGACTCAAAGAGACGTCACAGAGACCCATAGAGACATCACAGAGACCCATAGAGACATCACAGAGACCCACAGAGACATCACAGAGACCCATAGAGACATTACAGAGACCCGTAGAGACACCACAGAGACCCATAGAGACACCACAGAGACCCATAGAGACATCACAGAGACCCATAGAGACATTACAGAGACCGATAGATACATCACAGAGACCCATAGAGACATCTCAGAGACCCATAGAGACTCACAGAGATGCAGACTCATAGAGATTCAGACTTATAGAGACCCACAGAGACCCCTAGAGATGCAGACTCATAGAGATTCAGACTTATAGAGACCCACAGAGACCCATAGAGATGCGAACTCAAAGAGACCCATAGAGACCCACAGAGATTCAGACTTATAGAGACCCACAGGCACCCATAGAGATGCAGACTCATAGAGATTCAGACTTATAGAGACCCACAGAGACCCATAGAGATGCAGACTTATAGAGATTCAGAATTATAGAGACCCACAGAGACCCATAGAGATGCAGACTCATAGAGATTCAGACTTATAGAGACCCACAGAGAGACATAGAGATGCAGACTCGTAGAGATTCAGACTTATAGAAACCCACAGAGACCCATAGAGATGCAGACTCATAGAGATTCAGACATATAAAGACCAACAGAGACCCACAGAGATGCAGACTCATCGAGATTCATACTTATAGAGACCCACAGAGACCCATAGAGATTCAGACTCATAGAGGCTCACAGAGACCCATAGAGATTCAGACTTATAGAGACCCACAGAGACTCATAGAGATTCAGACTTATAGAGACACACAGAGACCCACAGAAATGCAGACTCAGAGATTCAGACTTATAGAGGCTCACAGAGACCCATAGACATACAGACTCGTAGAGACGCACAGAGATTGAGAGACTCACAGAGACCCATAGAGACATCACAGCGACACCACCGCTCCGCTTCTCCCGCCCTGGTTATCTGACTCGACCTACCCGGACGAGAGTGTGTGTGGAGTTTATTGCTCCGCAATCCACATCATTGCAGGTGCTGTCCCCCTTTATATTCCCTTGCACGACGAAAGCCCACCGAACTCTTCTTTGTAGATGGCACGGAGAAGTGGGGGGGGGGGCGGAGTGTGGGGGCGGGAGAGACAGAGACACCAACAGGCTAGGTTAGGGGTGTCAAGGACCTATAAACCATCGTCACGCCAACTCCGGTACCATCCTGGCAGCAGCAGCAGCGGCGGCGGCGGCGGCTTTTGGTTGACGAACAAAAGCGGTGGTCACCGCGTCGCGCGTTTTCAGACGCGCTCGCTTCTGCGGCCGTCTGGAACGCTCTTCCCTCCGATATTAGGAATCCACTGGTTGCTGCGCACTTTCAAAATCATCGTCCAGATTGACGAACGCACTTCTTTAGAACTGCTTGTTGTTTGTCCTTAGTTCGTCCGATTAGCACGGGTTGGCCACGTACGGTGCGAAAGAAGTCCAACATACATACTGTGCATACAACCGTGTATCTCTGTTTGTCCATATGCGCTCTCCTCCTCCATGGATGTGAAAGCCGGACAATTTCAAAGACCCCCCCCCCCACCACCACTAAACTACCGCTTTTATTTCACCATGTAAGGCCTCACTGAACTACATAGCCAATTTTCTCGATTAAAAACTAATTTCTGCAGAAATTTTTTTGTGTTTAGTTTGTTGTCCTTCCCCCACAGCCATCCCTGTCACCCCCTTATCAGTGCCCTACCTCATTACAGACCAATTCTAGAGCTTATTGGTCACCCCGTGCCCCTTATAAATCCCAACGTCCCATCCTACGAAGTCCCATCAGAAGGGAGAAACACAAACACATAGCCACTCACCACTAGCACACTCACCACTACTACACTCACCACTAGCACAATCACCACTATCACAATCGCCACTAGTACACTCACCACTAGCACACTAACCACTACACTCACCACTAGTACACTCACCACTACACTCACCACTAGTACACTCACCACTACTCTCACCACTAGTACACTCACCACTACACTCACCACTAGCACAATCACCACTAGCACACTCACCACCAGTACACTCACCACTAGTACACACATTCACCAATAGTACACTCACCACTAGTACACTAACCACTACACTCACCACTAGTACACTCACCACTACACTCACCACTAGTACACTCACCACTACTACACTCACCACTAGCACACTCACCACTACTACACTCACCACTACACTCACCACTACTACACTCACCACTACACTCACCACTGTACACTCACCACTACACTCACCACTAGCACAATCACCACTAGCACATTCACCACTAGTGCACTCACCACTAGTACACTCACCACTACACTCACCACTATTACACTCACCACTAGTACACTCACCACTACACTCACCACTAGTACACTCACCACTAGTACACTCACCATTCGTACACTCACCACTAGTACACTCACCACTACACTCACCACTAGTACACTCACCACAAGCACACTCACCACTACACTCACCACTACACTCACCACTAGTACACTCACCACTACTCTCACCATTAGTACACTCAACACTAGTACACTCACCACTAGCACACTCACCACTAGCACACTCACCACTAGCACACTCACCACTAGTACACTCACCACTAGTACACACACTCACTACTACACTCACCACTAGTACACTCACCACTAGTACACACACTCACTACTACACTCACCACTAGTACCCTCACCACAAGCACACTCACCACTACACTCACCACTACACTCACCACTAGTACACTCACCACTAGTACACTCACCACTCGTACACTCACCACTAGTACACTCACCACTACACTCACCACTACTACACTCACCACTAGCACACTCACCACTAGTACACTCACCACTAGTACACTCACCACTACACTCACCACTAGTACACTCATCACTACAAACCTGTCAACCCCTTATCAG